AGAGTGTGTTGAGGAGCAGGAGATGTGGGGGAGAAGCAGGAGAGGTTGTGGAGAAGCAGGAGATGTTGTCCTGGAGCAGGAGAGGTTGTGGAGGAGCAGGAGATGTTGTGGAGAAGCAGGAGAGGTTGTGGAGGAGCAAGAGAGCTGGACTCGGGAGAAGCAACATCACAGACACCGTCAGGACGCTGGACACAGCTGGACCTCCGCCTCCTTGGTCAACACATCTGTCTTGCCCAGCACTCAAGTGCTGCTCATACAACACCCACTTATTTTACACAGTAGCCAGCACCCATGAGCCAGACACCTCCTAGGAGAACATGAGGCTGTGAAACCCACTGGAGAGGTGGTGGGAACAGGCTCTGGCACCTTGTTACAGCTACATGACCCCAAAACCCTCATCTTCCTCCCATGGGATGCTATCGAGCCAGCAGGGATAGAATTTTGAAACTTCAGGAGCAGGAGCAAGGCCGAGGGCAGGACAATGAGTGCAGGAGAAGGTGGCAGGAGCTCATCCCTGGCAAGGAGGGCTTCCAAGGGCTGCTCTTTCAATGGAAACCTATGTTTCCAGCTCATCACCCGCCCCCTCACTGGGGAAGTTCCCTCTGGCGCCATGTGGGACATGATGACCAAGCGGGGACCTTGTTTGGTGACATGTGATGCCGCGGCCATCCGGAGGGCAGCGTCTTGGGTGAGGACGGCCACAACCCAAGTGTGTGATCCCTGCCTGTTCCCACCAGAACACAGGTTGGAAATCTGACCTCTCCTTTCTCTTCTACATCAAGTTCATCCTTCTCTTTCTCTCAGGGGTGATTTCCCTTCACGCTGACACAGATATTAGCAGGCAGAGTCCTGAATTATCAAGGCAACCCATCTGATCATCAGTGCAGGACAAGTCTGCTCAAAGTCCATCTTCCTACGCCATCCTCTGCCAGCAAGGTCCACATACATCAGCACTTGCTGATACATCCTGGCAGCCGGACACACACACAGGGCATCATGCGGAAAAGATCCTGTCAGAGAGAGGGAAAAATCAAGCAGAAAACAGCCAAAAAAAGAGAAGAGTTTTCATCCCAGCCAGGATTCACTCTCCAGAGCCCAACTCGTGCACACAGGAGAGGAGGCAGCGATGCCAGTGTCTGCATGGCTTGGGCAGAAAACTTGTATTTTTGCAATTACTACCATGCCTGTTCTTTTATTTTAGGCTCTGGGAGAGAAGCGGGAAAAACAGACGAGGTTTTCCAGCCGTCAAGGACCCCAAACCTCCTGCCGAAACGTAAGTCTGCAAAAAAGCACCAACATCGCTATATGTCACTGTTACATATATAAGCTGCTTCCCTCTCCCCAGGTCTTGCATTTTTCTGTCTGGCGAGCAGAGGCTGCCCTTGAAAACATGGAAAATTCCTGGCAAGGGATGTGCCAGAGGGGCTAGGAGGGGGCTGCAAATCTCATGTGGTGTTCCCATTTGTTAAGTATGGAAGAGAAGTGGCCACAAAGTGCCCAGCCAGGCTTGGGGGCTCCTGGGCAAGGTAAAGGGAGCGCAGGAGGTGCACGGAAATGCACGGAAAGGAGAGGAAGTCGAGTGTGAGGAGCAGTCGGAGCTAGCCCAGCAAAGACAAAAAAAAAGAGAAAAAAGCTTAATGTAGTACGTAAGATGATCAGAGAAGCGAGAGAGTGCAGTTTGTGAAGCAAAATTTCCTCTTTCTGCGTCTTTTTTTAGTAAGCTGCAGTTTTTCACACAGCACATGGCGCTGAGGCAGCGCGCTCTGAGCTGCAGCTCTTTGGCTTTTCCAGAGCTGGATCCTTGTCCCGGTGCTGCGTGACGATCCCCCCGGCAAAGCCACTGGGCTCATCACCAGCCCTTGACTTTTTTTCTCCAGATGATCACATTTGGTGAAAAAAACACCATTTCGTGACTTGCCATTCGGGACTGCAGCAATAATTGACGGAAAACATTAATTTCTCAGATTAATATTACTTATCTACAAACTAAACCATATTTCCATCTGTATCGCGGCACAGCCCAGGCCTCAGAGGCTGGGAATTCCAGCTGGGAATTCCTTTCAGCCCTCCCTCCCACGGGACCGGCTACAGCTCGGCAAGGGCAGCAGACAAAACAGAAAGCAGAAGCAAAAGGGAGCTCCAGATGGAAAAGCTGGGCTGGGCATCCACAGCTTGGAGGACTTGCTGCAGAAACCCCGGATAGAGAGTAAATGTTGCTGCAGATGGAGAGTAAATATGGGCAGGGATGAGTTCTGCCAGAGGGTGCAGCATGAAAAGCTTTGTAGCAGCAATTAAACACATTTTCTCTTTTTATTCCTCTGTGGTTTTGCACCTATGCTCAGCAAGGAAAGCACAGGGCTTTTTTAGAGAACTGACCACCTCGAAAAACACTAATAAAAGTTTTCTGCAAAGCAGCAGTCCTTCTTTTCTTGGAATTTCCTGGAATTTCGCATGCGTGCTTCGCTTTGCATGATCCAGCTCTCCATGTGACGTTGCTCTTACAGCTTTCTGTCTTCCAGCTGCAGGGTCACATCTGCTGTCCAGCTCCTGCCTCCAGAGCAGTGCCTGAAATGCCACCTGAAAGGTGACACAGGGAGCAGCTCCAGCAGCAAATGGGTGAGTGCTTCAGCACACGAAGATGCATTTGTGTGGACCATCGCTCTGCCAATATCATCAGACTACAACAAAGTCTACTAACTACTGAGAAAGAGTATGAGCGAAGTGCATGAGGAAGGCTTCAAGGTGTTCACCAAAGAACCAAGCTCCTCCCAAAGCTGGAGCAGACGATCCTGCAAGCGCAGCCTCGTGTGGAGACATTAGGCTGGAAGGAGATATGAGCTTTTTTACTTAAAACACAGGCAACCTCAGGACAACAGGTAACAATATTGTCATACGGTACCTCCAACTTCGCACTCCTCGACTATCACAGCAGAAGACTTCATGAAGAGCAAAGCGAACGTGTCCCAGCAGGCCAGGGAAGCAAAGGAACGGGGCAAACCCAAGGCTGAGTGTGCAGCTATTCTGCTCCTCTTAAATGTTCTGTCCCGCAGGGAAGTGGGAGAGAGCTGGGAACGCGGCAGGACGGAGCCTCGTCCAAGCTCAGGTCTGAAAACCAACCATGATGAACAACTCAACCTGCTCCAATGACGCGGACCTCAAGTCTTACTATGCAATTACCTACACCCTCATTCTGATCCCTGGACTAATAGGAAACACTTTAGCCCTGTGGGTCTTTTACGGTTACATGAAAGAGACTAAAAGGGCTGTAATATTTATGATCAATTTGGCCATTGCTGATTTGTCACAAGTTTTATCCTTACCTCTAAGGATTTTCTACTACTTGACTGGCACGTGGGAGTTTGGAGGAGGTCTCTGCATGCTTTGCTTCTACCTGAAGTATGTCAACATGTATGCAAGCATCTACTTCTTGGTTTGCATCAGCGTAAGACGATTTTTGTTCCTCATGTACCCATTCAAATTCAGCGACTGCAAACGCATCTGTGATGTGTATATCAGCATCATCGGGTGGGTCATAGTCTGCATTGGCTGTCTGCCTTTCCCTCTTCTCAGGCTTCACAAGAACGTCAAAAACACGTGTTTTGTGGACCTCCCAGTAAAGGAGGTCGATCTTCCCATCTCCATTGCCATGATGACCATAGGTGAACTGCTGGGCTTCGTAACGCCCCTGCTGATAATTCTGTATTGCTCATGGAAGACTATCTTATCATTAAAAGAAAGAAATTCTGCTTCACATGACCTTGGAGAGAAAAAAAAGGCTTTAAAGATGATTCTCACCTGTGCCCTGGTATTTCTGATTTGCTTTGCACCTTACCATATCAGCTTCCCATTAGATTTCTTTGTCAAAACCAAGAAGATCAAAAATGAATGTGCCCAGAAAGTGATATCAGTATTTCATGCTGTAGCTTTGTGTCTTGCCAGTTTAAATTCCTGTGTAGACCCGGTCATCTACTACTTTACTACAAATGAGTTCAGAAGACGACTTTCAAGACAGGATTTGCAAGACAGCATTCAGCTGCACAACCTAAGTTATGTGAAAAAACATGCCAAAACTGAACTCATGGGGCAAGTTATAGACTGCTGATGTTAGAATTCCTGAAAGGTTTTCAAGGACTTTCAAATCTCCATCATTTGGGGTTTGGGCCCATTTTGTTTCCACTCAGGACACAGAGAGTGACTATTCAGATAAATTTCTGATGATTCCACAATACTCTGGTTGCAAATTTTGTATTAATACTGAATATATATTACACTGTGTAAACTGCACAGGCCGTAACTCTGAGCTGAGTAGCTTTGTAGCAGCAGAGCACAAGGACGCGCTGTAGCCAGGAGGACATAGACCAAATTGGTTTACCCCTCTGCTGGGATTAGGAAAGCACCCTAAGGTCATGCGTTGGCTTGACACAATATTGTATTTTTCTTAAATAATTGTTACCACGTGTAGCATGATCACTGGGTTCAGACAAATTAGCAGTCGTAAAATGGATAAAGCTGTTTACATCTGGGGTTAATTCCTTTAAGTTTTCTTGATTCTCACAGCAATGACAAAAATGACAATAATGCAAAAGAAGGTGTTGACTAAGGAGGACTTTCAGCAATGTTCCTCTGGGTAATATAGTACTTACTATTTAATTTATATACAGAGCACCAAGAGACCGCCTCGTGCAATACTGACTACATGGCAAGGAACTTAAGGCCCTTGTCCCAAAGGACTTCGCAATTAAACTAATTAGCAAGACCTCCATTTTGGGAGTGTATCCAATGGCATGCTGCAAGTTGGACTCAGACTAAGGGTGAAGCTTATTTCTTAGGAAAACCGTAAGAAACCAGTAGACCCACATTGCCTCCTCCTAGGGAAAAAGAAAAAAAAAGTCATTAAAGTGTCTAGATAATTTTATTCTTCCATCACTTCCCATTTCTGTATCACATTAAGAAATACCAAAATACCATAAGTAATTTCAAGGCCATTTTTGATTATTTTGATAAGCTTTAGATATGAGTCTGTGCTTTAAGGGTATTTAATTAACTATCAAGTCTTTCAGGTCCTCTTTTGCCCAAATCCATGTTAATTAATTCAAGTATTTCATGATTTGGGTAATTCTTTTTGTAATTTTCAAAGTGACAACTTCTGGTCAAGTTCAAGCCGTTAACATCAGATTAAGAAGTAGCCAGAGGAACTGAAGCTTTCTGAATATTGCTGCAATGTGAACAGTTCAGGTACTCAATACATGCAGAGTCAAAGATGCCACCTAACTGAGAGCTTTTTTATAGGAAAGGCTCAAATATGGACTTTTAAAAATACTTTAACGTCAAACAACAAAAGCTTTGTGCATAACTGGGTTTTTTTTGCACCTTCCTGTGAAAATCATTTCTGTGTGAACATTTTAAATGTATTTTTTTAAATGTGAAAATACTGTGATGATATTACATTATTTAATGCAAATGCTCTTTTATAGATTTAATTTATAAAAACATTAAATTTTGTAAAAAAAAAAAAGTGTAGATCCCAGAAGTGCTGGGAAATAGAAAGATTTTCTTATTGTTTATCTTTTTTAGAAAACCCCCCATATAATAAAACCAAAACCCACTTCATATACACAAAGCTTATTCCAGTGTGTCTGTACCCGTGTTGAGCTGTGTTTGCACTGCTAATTCGTGGAAATTGAGTAGCACATGGTAGTTTGCTCACAGAACTGAACAAATACATAATGTCTAAACTCAAGTCACATTTTCTCTCATACTCAGGCCTCAGCAATAGCCATACTACATATTGAAATTAATGCTAGGCAGCAAATTGTGCCATATCTAATCAGCCATCGCAGCACAGTGGCATCAGAGCAGGGGAACCACATTTGGGTTGCTCAAGGCTCTACTCAGAACATGCTCAAGGCTACAGAAATAACCTGCAATGATCTTTATCTCCAGGGTAAAAGAGCACCCTAGTTCATGGGCCGATCGGAGCATTTTGTCACATCCTCTGGCCAACATAAGAATCGGTCTGGGATGGTCTAGGAAAAAATGGTGTGTTGGTTCCATTAATGAGAACCATATATAGTTATCCATTAATTTTTAGAGTTTGGCCAGGAATAAAGTAAGACTGTGGGATGTAACTCCACAATAACTCAAATGAAAAGGCAATTATCTGTTAAGCAAAGAGGAAGAATTTCATACAGCTCCAGCAAGGACCACCAGCCAGGGCTCATCATGGAGCTGGATGTTTCCAAGGAACTTCAGGTTCCCCTGTTATTAAAGAGGACTTTTTCTCCCAGCTGTAGATCTAATAGATCAAATCGGGGTCTGCCCAACGTCGTGATTATAAGATAGAAAAGCAAGACAGTTGTCAGTAGGTGTCTACTAACAGTAAAATAAAAAAATAAATCTTATAAAACCCAGAAAAGCTGAAGCACCCCATGTACCAAAGCCACCTAGAGGGAGCGCTTGGCAGGTCTGGGGGAGCATGGCCCCAAACAAGGTCCCCTCAGAGCAACGTGGACCCTTTTGCCTGTCACAAAGCTTTTGGTCACAGCCCTCTGGGGAAAAATTCCAGCAGCTATTCCAAATGAACTGCATGAGTTTTACCGGCACACTGGACAACTTCCCTGCTTTGGGACAGGATGGTGTGGAGCACATTTTTGCATAGCAGGCTGCTGGCTGCCAAAGGGACTCTGCAACGCTGCTCCATGCCACCTGCGTGGACCTGCTTGGTGGCAGAGCAGGGGCAGAAACGGATATGGGGGAGAGGGGCAGATTTTGCCCAAATAGCAGTTTCCAAGGCCAAAGAGGAGAGGGAGGAGAGGTCCCTGGCTGCCCCCCACACAGCCCATCACACTTTGCTCTGCAACCTCCTTCTCCCTGGCACCTGCCCTGGTGACAAAACCCAAGCAGAGCCACTTTTAGCTTCAAAAGGGGAGAGATACCTTGCACAAAGCGGTGTCAGAAGTTCGGAAACAGTTAGATGAGAAAAAACTGTCATATGCTTAAGTTTTCCCACCTAGAAAATACTGTGGGTGCAGCAACAGCCATTTCCCCTGCTGCCATAGCAATGTGGTTTATTCATATTAGTATTAACGGTCTATTTTTACAGGAAGTCTAATGTGATATTCTCAGCATGTGACACAAATTGCTGCAGGGGGACGCCTGCTGCAGCGTGGCCATCCCGCTGGGATTCATCCCGGTCCTGCTCCGGGGCAGGACAGTCCTTGTCCCTCGAGGATGTGGGCAAGTCCTGCAGGTGCCTCCTAGTCCCCTGGAGCACCATGCCCATCCTGCCAGAGCGGGGAAGAGCAAGGATGAGATTGTCCTATTGCCCAAACGAAATGAAAAGGTGACTGGGAGCAGTGTGGCACCGGCAAGGCTAACGCCAAGGAAGGGGTTCGGGCTCCTGACATGTCCCAAGTTCTGCAGAGCAGCCAAACGTTGTCCCGAGATCCCCTGCAAACCCACCGTCTCCCACAAACCTGTGCATTTGAGAAAATCCACCCTGCTGTAGAGCAACAGCCCACTCAACCTTAGAGCATCTGCCTGGCAAATAATCTCACCGAGATCATGACGGCTATTTCAGGATCAAAGATGCAGCTTCTCTAAGGGCAGCGTGTTGGGCTGGCGGCCGTCGGGCTGATTCTCTAACCCCTCTGAGCTCTCTGCTAGGGCAGAGCTGGCTCCTCACGGGGCATCACTCACTTCTTGCTGCAGATCCCTCTGGCCCTCCACGGATGCTACTGTGGGTCAAAGTATCCAGGCTTTTCTCCTGAGATCCATCTAAATATGAGCACTCATTTGCAGGATTGGGGTGGGGATCTTAAATAGAATGTATCTCAGGCTAAAAAACAAACAAATTAACAAAATCCCTTTTTCGAGGACTCTCCCGGAAACTGCAAGAGATTTTCCTTGGACTAATATATACATTTGGGCCCTGAAAAACAGCCCACAACGGAGACAGAAGCACAAGTCGGTGGATAGAAAATGACTCTGGGGGTTTCCTGCATTTTAGCTGATGCTAATCAGCTAATTAGGGCTAATTCTATTCCTCACTTCCCCCAATTCTTTCTTTCTCTCAGATTGTTGATTTTTTCTCTACATTCTTCCTTTTTTCCAAACCAAAAATCTTCATTTCTGGAGACTTCACGCACCACCCTGAGAAAAAACTGAAAGCTTCATGGAAGAAAGATGGTTTCCTGTGAAGTTTGGGCCTTCCCCAAAGCATATCTGTTCCACTGCAAGAATCACGACTCCAACCCAAGCGTTAACCCCGGGGCTGTTCAAACTCCTCCTGCGAGGAGCGGTGCCCACATGGGTGCACTTTCCAAGGGGATCCGTTTCTCCCCAATTTGCAGTCACCTCCTTTGCAGTTTGCCCTTGAGCTCCAGATTGTGCCCAGAGGAGGTGGCACTTGCTGGCACCCACAAACAGCTTGAGGCCGCCCCAAGGGAGATCTGGGCAACTTGAGGATGTTTAGAGACGTCCAAGTGTCCCAAGGCAGCACGAGGAGGGTCTGGGGGTCAATCTTGTTTGCACTGGACAAGGCAAGGCTGCATTTTGGGGTCAGAGCAAGGCCTGGGCCCGGTGCCGCCGCAGAGGAGGAGCTCCCTGGCGAGGCCGGTTTCCGAATGTCTCAGCCGGCGGCCCCGGCGCCCCCGTTTCCACCGCG